GACGTTTCCTTCGTGCACACTTGACGGCATAAAGTTAATAATGATTATTCATGTTGTGTTGGCCTAATTCCACGCATTATTTGTAACTTCCATAGTTACGTTGGTGTGCTTCACGTATTTGGATCTAAAGTTCTAGTCCTGATGATATATTTTTTTTTTACTGTACCCATCTCTCTACTTGTCAGTCCAATGCTTCGGTTGAGCCTGGACAAAGACACTTCGTAAGAGTTGTGTATGATCACTACATCACGGCGCGTTTACACTTGCGGATTTGCGGGCAAATCCGCACAGGCGGAAAGTAAATTTTGGAGCCGTGTGGCGAAATCAACTCGTCGCTGGAGGAAAATCTCGATCAGTACGGGACTCATATCCAGATTTTCAGCCAGCGACAAATCAATTTTGCCACCCGGCTCTAAGATTAAGTTTCCGCCTGCGCAGATCCGTCTGCAAACCCGCCACTAGGCCATAAAAAAAAAAAAAGATATTTTTTTATAACTATGTGTTTTTTTGTAGATAATCTTGATATATCGCCTCTTTCGAACACACGTATTGTTCGCGACATGGTGTTTTTCTATACGGAACATAACGCTGGTATTGATTCTCCACTGCAACCAGTAGAAACTCACTGCACTTTCTACGACAACTAAAAATATACTTTTTCCTCCTGTCTTAATGTCTAGCCCTTTATTGACACCCATGAAGCTTGTGCGCAAAAAGTCAACTAACTTGAAGCGGGCCTTTTTGCTTATTTTAAAAAGTTAAAGAAAAGTGTATCAGTCATGATTACTTCCTAGCCATATTTTTATTTCCCCAATGTGCGTACGCCCCGCCTCTCCCAAGACCTGCCTGCTGTTAAGGAAGTAAATAAAACGTAAATATATATATATATATATTGAGTGATATCTTGATTGAGAGATTGATCGGTTGATTGATTCTTCGATTTATTGAATGATTGGTCTATCTTTGAGTGACTGCTTGATTGATGAAATAATTGATTGATTGGTTGATGCTCCTCTGCAGCGTTTAAATCGATATATTGGTTCATTAGGTGGCTGATTAATCCAGCGGTCGATTGCTCGCTTGATTGATTGAGTGGTTAATCAAGGATTGATTGAAAACCTCTGGAGGATTTCCGCGGAGTTGTTTTCTTTCCGTTACAGAAACCGAACTACATAGCTAAACTTGCTCTTTGGGGGAACGTCGATCTTATCCACCTAACTTACAAACGCGCTATAGGCCAACAGCAATTAATGCAACGGCCAACCCTGATGAGGTGTAGACAAGCGAGGCGCGACCAATCTACTCTACGTAGAAGCGTGTATTTCTGCTGTAGCGACATTACCTCTCCGGGTCATCAAAAATTTAAAAAAGGCCTATTTTTTAATAATACTATTTTTACAAACTAGTAATGCGATCAGGCTATGGTTTCTTTTGTTGTTGGTTTAGAGTAGCAGGAGGAGCCCCTCAAACGGTGCTCTCTTCTCGCCATGAAAGGTGATTTTCTCCATTCCCTTCGTCCCCTTTCCAGCGTTCGTTCGTTCGCTCTGGTAGAGTGCAAAAACTGAAAAGTTTTGTGGGAGGAGGTTGTACTGCTATTTTAAAGCAGCAGCCAGCTTTGGTAGCAACTGGTGGCTCGCGGGGTACCATCCTCCCGATCTTGCTTTGTTTTTACATTTCTTTTTTTTAAGGAATGATGTTGAGTTTATAGAACCTTCACGCACACTGATATAAAATTTATATAGAATTTCGAAATAAATAAAAGAAAACCTAGTTTGTGCACGTACCGAATCAATCGGCGTTGACTGTTTCGATGGTTCGGCTAGAAAATAAATGACTATATCATCATCTTGAACATCCGAGACTTGGGAAGAAATAAAAGGACTGCACACATCGGTTTCAAACACGGCTGGAACGTACATTTCACCTTCATTTATCTTTCCTTGAAGGCCATGGGGGCAATATACAAGGTTCTCCTCTGGAATCTACGGGTTTAAGGGTTTATAGCTTTCACCGAAATAAGAACACCACCCCTTCCCTCCTTAAAGATAACAAATAGCATAGTCAAATGGGAACCCGGAAAAGTGCGATTTTCGTTGTGACACAAAGGCACAGTCGCCTGTTGTCTTGGACGAACATTTAATATGATAAACAGTAAGCCCCCTTTGTCAATAATCCTAGAAAAACGAGAATTAATTCAATCTTATGCGTAGAATACAGTCTTTTATTACCACCTTAAAATCAACATTTAATTTTTTTGTGTAAATACTACGTAACGAATATGGTGCGAGCGAGTCTTTTTTTTTAGATTCATAGAAAACGACTTTTATTGATAATCAATCACAAAGAAATATTGTGATAAGTATTGTTCTGAACGTCCGACAATGTCAAACCAGGCCTCGAGCAGACAACCTGTATTGTTTCTTTTGTCACAAACCCAAACAGGCTATAAACACGGACAAAGTATATAGATAAACAAGAAGCTATAAATGGATGCCTTATATACATATACTTCTACACTGTTTATTGCTTGCACAATGAAGTGAATGCATAGGAGTTAGTATTGAAATGGCTGTAATGGTGGACACAAAATTACGTTTTTTTTGTTTTGTTCTGTCAGATAATTAATAGTGTTAAAACAACATGCATCGCTCGATATCTCCGAACGTGTTAATAACTATTCATTTTCATTAAACAAGGCGTTGATAAAGTGCGTTGACGCTGTACCTCAGCCCTAGCAAAACGTTGTGATGGGGCGCTGTATATAGTCTATTTCTGGCATGTACAAAGACCCAAATGTAACCTATTTGAAGCTAAAATCATCACATCAGCGGCATCAGGTCCTCGTCAATCAGGTCTCCGAGATAAGGAATAGTGTTTGGCAGTAAACCTAAATCATGGGTCGGCTACCTCTTGCTGCCGCAGTCCAAATTGTCGCAAAGTGGATAAAGAGCGGGTCGGAAGAAAATCCGGAGAGGGGGGAGTAGCAATATATATATATATATATATATATATTGCCATGAATAAAAACATAAATATGCTTGGGAGAAGACCGTGTTGGTTCAATATGATGGATGAAGAAAAAATACACAATTAACACTGGGACAACACAAACCCATCTTTCATAAAAAAAAATGTGGTTGTGTTGTCCTAGCGTTAATTGTTTTTTATTCTTTCTTCATCAAAAAACATAAGCTTAATTAATAAAACTAAAAAAAGGAACGTGTCATGCGGCGAACTTGCGCCATGAAGCACAAAGTAACAATTGCGCCATTCGATGCTCCTTTTTGAAGCGCGTGGGTATCTAGACGTTTCCAAACTCGAAGAAACAAGATTCTCGAGTCATCTGGCACATTCCAGTCATGCAAAGAAAATAAAGATAAAAAGGACCAATGCTGGCGGGGATCGAGCCCCAGCCAGCGACGTGCGAGTCGAGCACGCTGCTGACTCAGCCATTCGCACGTGGCAATATATAATGGAAAGTGAACGGTTATGCTATGTGCTGCAGGCAATATTTTGGGTGTCTCTTGGAGCTCTATCTTTCTCACAAGTCACACAGTTTTGATTCTAGATACCAATGACCGAGACAAAAAAAAAACACTGATTAAAACTGTCAAAGTTATCTTTTTAATGAGAACTATACGGTGTTTGCAAACTTTCTGGCCAGTCGCCTTGTTAGAATACTTATAGCACGCTCCCAAGGGCGACAAAACTGTTGAAATTGGCACTAGTATAAATCGGGAATTCGAACGAAAAGTTTACCAAATACTAATACCTTAATTATCGATATAGAGTTCATCACTGTGGCGCACAACAATTGGTAATGTATAATAAACTTGTATCCTGGTAGGCCGCATCAGAGCCAATACATCCCATTACACCAGGCTTGCAACCAACAATATTTGTTGCGTCATTATTCCTGGAGTGAGTGTGTGTGTGTGTGTGTGGGAGGGGGGGGAGGGAGGCTTTTCTTGTAGCGTGCAGGGGGCCACATAATATTCCCTTGCGGGCCGCTGATTACCCACCCATGGCCTAAAACGTACGGGACACTCCATTGCTAGTGTCAAAATAATCCCAAAGCGAATCGCTGTTATTGACTGAGTCTGGGAAAGAGATAAAAAAAGAACAAAAAAAAAAGTCATCTTCAAGGAAAAACAAATATCTTGTTTGATACTATCGTCGGAAATTTCGAGGAGATGTGAGTGGAATCTCAATTTCTATTTACCTTCATATATGTAGCCGGAAATCAATTAAATTATACTCCAGCAAATGGTCCCTATTTTTAGCCGCTGCGTCTCGATATTGCGGATCCTAATTGCATTCAGGCGAGCGATCAGAACATTTTGATTGGATTCCGTGGAGTTCAACCCTAATCTGCTTCATTCTTGCTGAGAAATCAATTCTCTCTCGCGCTTGGGTTAAGCTGTAACTGCATCAAATACATTAAAGTTTCCGACGAAAAAGGACCCTTCATTCCCCACGAACGCGATACGTAAAACTAGCAGCATTGAAACAAAAGAATACATTTCAGCTCAGAGGGTAGATATGCCGAAATCCGAATAAATGTGGTTAATGTTTATGCGTCTGTCAAGCATAAGGCAAATCAAAATTTTAGAAAATATGACGCAGATGAAATAAGCGCACTACGCGTTTCAATCCACCGACATGAAAATATCTCACTTAAATGTGTAAAACATATAAACGTACAGACTACTCTCCGTAGAAGTTGTTTACCTCACGCATATCTGAATTCTTCTAGAGAATCTAATTATCTTTGTCCGGTTGTTGAGATATCACTGAAATAAAACGCATTGAACGCCCTTTGTGACTAGTTTTATTAATTGGTGCTAAGTACGTTCTCGTCTACAACATTGTTTTTATTGCTTTGAATCATGCATCCAAATTTTCTTAGTAACTATTACTCTAACTGTTAGTAATCGAAAAAACTAAACAGCCGAACTCTGGTGTTTTACAGATCAAGAGAAGTAATAGGGACTACTCACATTCCTCTCCCATTGTAGCGTAGAACGCATTTATCTGCAACACTCCCGCGCAGAGGTGCACCGAGTAGAAAAACTGTAAAGAGAAGGAAACACAATTCATCATTTTCCGCCCAGCTAGCAAATGCACCGCCCTCCATAAGGCTAATGTGTCTCCGATATTTTTCCGTTTTCCGTTCAGTACTCATAAATGCAAGGTGCTGGAAACTGCACAATTGCAGCTTGTACAGGTGCTTGTCGAAACACTAAAGATAAAACATGCTCCGGAAAGTACGCTAAAAAAAAAAAAAAACCTTTGGTCACGTCCTTGCATCCTTCAATATTGTTCCTGTAGGTTGTCTATTAAGGTGGTAGTGGGCAACCACCGATCAAATTTCAAAGCTAAAACAAGTATTACATATAACATTCCCTAGAACAAAACACGAACAAAACACGATGGTAGGTGGAAGTGCTGTCGCTCTGCACACGTGCTTTTGCTAGTGCTATAGGCTGATAACACACGGTTGCTTAATTTTCCCTTTCATATACAGCAGCGTTGGGAACACCGACATCCCAGCAATGATCCTGGGGTGTTGGACGATCGTTTTAATTGTTTGCATACAGATTACGCGTAGTGCGACGCCCAAAACCGTTTTACCCGATAAATAATAACACAATACAAAAAAAAACATTCGCTTGTAGTTTGTAATGCGAATCCTCGTTAAAAATTCAGTGTGCTAGTTCCCAGTTGGCGGCTTTAACACTCTACAGAGGTACCCGCATTCTTACAGAAGCTTGTCCATGTCTTCCCCGTATTACTAAGATTTAAATGGGAGGCTATAACTAACCCGGTTCTCTAAATTAGTTTAACCATTCTTCGTTGGCGTACACAAAATAAGTTGGTTGTTTCGGAAAGCAAGCACGAGAAGATTTCAATTGCTAATCTTCAGGTGTCACGTCGCTGATTGGATAGTTCCGCACAAAAGGCTCAGGTCCTTTTGAATTCAAAATACATTGTCGCAAAAGCTGTCCCTTAATATTGCGGTTGCTCCGAGGCTAAGTTGAACATATATTAACGTTCGAACCTATCACATATTGATTATGACAGCAACTTCTGGGTGTACATAAAACATCCCGCTGGCGGGGCGCCGGTCCGGAACAAAACTGCTTGCTTCTCGAGTCACGACTGCGTGGTTCCAGCGGACGAGCTATTTTTCTCCTTCTTCTGGCCCGGGGAACAATCTAGCGTCCGCGGTGCATGTGTTCAGTCACTGTGGGGTTCCAAAGTCTGGGTGAGTCCAGCTCTCCACTGTTACAAAATGTTTTAAGGAAAGGAGCCCCACTAAGCGGCCTGTCACGTCCCACGTGTGGATATTCGTTAATTATGAATACTTTTCACGTTACATCATCATCATCATCATTTATTATTCCTTGAAGGTCCAGGGGGCATTATACAAGGGAGTGAACACTTAAAAATACAAACAAGTGACAAGACTCTTTATCTACAAAACACGCTGTAATCTAGTTCTGGGTTAGAAAAAACAAGCTAATGGCTGCAGAAAATTTCTTAGTATCAGATAAGGAAACAATTACTTCAGGCAGTGAGTTCCAGTCGTCAATGGCCAATGGTAAAGTAGACATTTGGTGAGTGTCGGTTGACGATGAAATCGGACGGAGTTTACAAGAATGGTCGAGACGAGGGAAAATTCGGTAAGGAGGTGATAACAACCTTTGTCTGAGATGACTGTTGTAATAAAAGATCCGATGAAGAAGAGAAAGACGAGACATCCTGCGGCGGGTGAGAAAGAGTGTCAAGGTTAGCTGATTGGCGAAATCCTGATATGCTTGCGTAAGGGGAATAGTCGGAATAAATAAAACGGAGGGCTCTGCTTTGAACGGATTCCAGGTTGTTGGTTAGGTATGCCTGCCACGGTGACCATATGGAAGAAGCGAATTCTAGTCTAAGGTTGAGGTTTTCGTTGAGTGCTCTAGAGAAAATGAACCTATAAAAGAAGATATGTTAATGAATAGTCTAGATGATTTCTTAATTACAAGAACTAAGAATTTTGCAAAAATTAAAAAAATTGGCAATTTTTGGGTTTTCCTCATTTATGTCGACATTAGCTTAATCCTTAACTTAAAAAAATACTCTGTGAAAGACACAAATTAAATAAACTAATACAAAGTACTGATTTGGTGACACGGAGGCCCCCATGTTGAATTTAATAGAATAGCGACAAAATAAGGGTATTGGTTAAAAATACATTATTAAAATGCCACGAAACGAATGCAGACCCGTTCCCAAGTAGAGTAAACATTTCTAATGAGTAGGATATTCAAATAATACTAGAAAATATTCTAGAAATAACAAAATACATGAAATCATACAGGGCTGGGATTAAAAATTAATATGTCGTTCCACGTTATACTATGGTAATAAAAATTAGATTATATTACACGAGTACTGATAGAAAAATACAAGAAATGTTGGAGACAAAACCTCATCGACAAGTAATAAAATGCAAACATAATAAGGGTATAGAAAATAGCGTGGAGAGATTGAAAAACTATACTAACAAGAAAAAACGTGAAAGCCAAACTAAGCAGAGAATAACTTGAAATTTCATGTGAATGTAGATAGTGTTTGTTTACAATAAATTACAAGCTCGCATGATTTCATGTGACACATTTTCGTGCTGTGTAGGACACCAATTGTTTCAAAACAGCAATAAAAACTTAGATGGCAAAAAGTGATATCTGTATTTAAGAATACACTAAAACGTTTATGGCGGTCTAATACTGCACGACATTGAAGGTGACGTGCACGCGCAGATAACTTACAGTATTTAAAAGCTGGGATTTGTATTGCGGATGCAATTGAATAGTGAAACGTTGACCTCCTTTTATGGCATATGCAGTAGTCCCTTCCCGCCTCAGACGTATAACTCGGTTAGACACGGAGGCTTGTCGTGTCTTACACAAACCGGAACCTCTCCTCAGATTTACTACATTTCGCTTGCCTTCATAAAAACATCTACCGAAAGGTATGCAAATCACAACGATTGACTTTCTGAAATCATGTTTTGAGAGAATGTATATTAGCTGAAGAAGGGATAAGTTATAGACGTACGCCGGGACTTATGGTAGGTGACCAGTATACGCAAGAGGTGAGGTCTATGCGACGCACGCATTGAGCATTAGCGCTAATTCAGTGTTTGTTTGAATTCGGGTGCAGTCAGTCTCCCAACATACACTTGGGTCGCCGCGTCGTGTGCGCGCATCTTGATTTTTTTTTTATCCCCTCCCACCACCAAAACTAATATAAATAGCACGGAATTCGTGTTTGTACAGTCAGCACAAATGATCGTCGGGCGGTATCGTAAAATCAGCACACGCGGCGCTGCGTTGTCGCGAACAAACTGAAATTTAGAGTACTTCAGCCTTTCCTACTCGCATATCCCGTGACTACTTGTGCAGAACGTTAACCTTAGAAAACAATTTATTTTTGCAACAGGGACACTGCCATTTGTTGTCGTTTTGCCAACTTAGCGTCTTCAAACCATTCAAAGTCGGTACACCGGTGAATAAACAAGATGTTCCGGTAGACAATGAGGGAGAGGAGGTGATGAAAGCGCTCGGCGACGTAAATGCGCCGAGCTGTGGTTGGAATGATTAGCAGTGGGTTGGGAGAACACCAGATTTTGTTTTTGTATATACTCACTGTTTGAACGCGCCCGTACAGTGAATGCCGACAAACTCATTTATCTTTTGCGCCTCCCCCTAATTATTCCAACCAGAGCTCGGTACTCTGCTTGTATAGCTTCTCTCAACGAACAAACAAAGGGACACGGAACTTGCATAGTTACGCAAAGCACGCGGAAGCTTGAGGCAACTAATCTGTATTCCAAATGCGTGCTTTGGAATCCGCTGCTGTCGGCCGACCTCCCCCGTGTTTCAAATATGCACGCGCAGTGCAATGTCGATCACGCTGGGATTACGAGACTTTAGCACCGCGTTTCGCCCTTCCGCTAAGGCAGGTAAATCCTCGATTGTGTTAATATTTAAGTGCGGGTTGTGCTCTGCTTCACTCGAAGCCTGAGCATAGGCGATACTTTAAGCTGATTAGGCCATTTAAGCAGCATCAAAAGCTCAACTGCACAGCGTTCGCCGGCCTCGTGGCTTTCCTTGCTTAACACGGATCGCAGTGCCTAATGGCTGGGACAGAGGTACGAAAAAAGGGCGGAAAAGTAAACTAAATGCTGATCCTAAGATAATTGTTTTACAATATTTAGCGGAAAATCTAATAAACGTGAATATTTTCGATAGGAAAATAGCAAATATGTTTCTAAGAAGACCGTTTTTGATGCTCGCGCGCAATCAATACGCTGGTTTCTGTAAAACAATGCGAAGCAACCAGCGCAAGTTACGATTTTCCTCTGAATATCGGATGGTTTTTTGGACTTGCATTTGAGTTCTCAGGCTCATTAAGATAATAAATAAAATTCAAACTCTTTCCGGGGATATCATTAAATCTGCTCATCGTAATATAACAGTTTTTTTAGAAAACCTTACGTTTGCCCCACCCTTAAAGTAGTGTTGTCAGTAGAGTAGGAACGCAATTGTTTTGTTTTGAATTTAACACGTTGTTAATTAGTCTATTCACAAAGTTCATGATTCAGTCTTTCATCTACGATGTTGCTAAGATACTTTCGTAGACAAGATGTGAGCAATTTTAAACATTATGTCGTGAACACGTTTTGAAGCTCGTGAAGTTCATCAGATTGCAGCGATCACCGATCCGAGCCCACCCTTACGCCTGATTTTCAAGCGATCTTCTCGGGCCATTTCAATCACCCCGTGGGTGCTTTAGTAAGTGACAACATTCGGTAGTATTACAATACGGAATGATAAGGTGGAAATATACACATTTTCCCATATCGTTCGCCTATTGCTATTCTTCAGGAAAATCATTTATAACGGAAAGAGCAAAAAAAGAAAACCGGCAAGTACGCCAAAATACATTGAATGTCGCGTGACAGTTTTTTCGATAGAAGCATATAAACAGTTTTTCCGTACCGTCTGTCTTCACCAAACGTG